CCTTGGTTTTAGTTTCTCAGATGTTCTATAGATGCGTTTTTTTGTTTCTTTTATGTACTAATCCTCAGATTGACCATTTCTATACTGTCAGTAATGTCACAGTTTTTAAAAGAAAAATATGTATTTTATTATGAAAGGAGTAAAGTTAATAAAAACTAATTGCTATTAAACTGCCATCACATCTTTATAAAATAATTGACAATATGCCTATCCCACTGACTCCCAATGTTAACATGGGGAACCTCAACCTTTGCCCCTAATTCTAAAGTGAACAAATCTTGGTCTATAAAGATACTGTCTAGCTCACTAGCTCAGTGTGTACAACACTGAGCTGTCTTTCATAGCCTTCTGGCAGAGGTTCTGTTTCTAGCACTTGCTATTCAGAAATGTCAGCTCCTGCCACTCTGTGCTCACTGAGTTAATTTTACACACCTTTCTGATTATTGTATAAGAGTTACTTCTTTAGAGGAGCTCTCCTAACACCTCAGTTATTGTTTTTGTTATGTGCCATCAAGTCACTTGTGACTCATAGTGACCATATGCACAATAGCTCTGAATTCTGTTCTATCTTGAGCCAATTTCACACCTACCCCCAATATCCCAGTCACTGAGTCACCAGAGTCTTCCTCTCTTGTGCTGTCCCTCCACCCTCCCAAACATGATGTCCCTCTCCAAGGATTGATCCTGCCTTGAAACAAAGTATGTCAGACGAAGCTTCAGAATCCTTACCTTTGAGGGGCAGTCTGATTTTACCAAACAGGACAGTTCTCTTAGTAGTCCATAGTATGTTCAAAACTCTTCTCCTGCACCACAACTCAAAGACATCAATTTTTCATGTTATCCTTAGTCATTGTCCAACCCTCTGGTACACAGCCATCAATTGAGAAGATCTTGGCTTGTATCAGGCACACATTAGTCTCTAGAATGACATCGTTACTTTTTTAGTACTCTGGAGATGCCCCTGACATCGAATTTTCCCAAAGCAAATTTGTCTTTTGATTTCCTGGCTACTGGTACCAAGAGTGGTGATTGAGCATCCCATTTGAATTTTACAAATGACTTTAACCATAAGGTTGCACAATTTGATGGGTGGAGGGAAGAGTGGGTCAAGGAGGGGGGAAATTCCAGTGTAGAAAAAAATATTAGTATGAACTTTGTAACTAAACCAGTATAAAATAAAAAATTTCTTTAAAATTTTTTTAAAATTTTGAAGAATTGAACACCATTCATCGTAGACCAGATGAATTGTGGGTTGACACCAGGACATCATCCATGAAGAGAGCAACAGAAAACTTTAAAGACCTTTTAAAAAGAGAAAGACAAAGACTAAGGAGACAAACATGACAAAGAAAAAGACAAAAACAAAAGAGAAAGGGGGGAACCCATAAAAAAGAAAAGAACCTGAAAACTGCACTAAAGCATAATAAAGAAACCAAAACAAGAGGGAAAGATGATGAGGTAAAAAGAGCAGAGCAGAAGATTTCAAAGGGTTTCTTGAAAAAACAAAGCAAGATATTACAATGGAATGTTCCAGAGTGCTGCAATTGCAGAATAAAAAGGGAAGAACTCACCTGGATTTTCTCAGGCTGAAAGAACTGGGGGGAAAATAATTCTCAAATTGAAATACTGAGAGATGCTAAAAAAAAAAAAGAAATACTGAAAGATGCTATGGACAAAATTTTGAATGATGCAGGAATCATCAAAGGATAGTGGAGGGAATATACAGGATCACTATACTATGAAAAAAAGCCAAACAGGGAGTACCATATGATCAAAAGCCACTAATAAATAATGAAGAAAGAAGTTCAAGCTACACTGAAGGAACTGACAAAAAATAACATCCCAGAAATAGATGGGATTAAAAATTAAGTATTGATTCCAGAGCCAAACAAGCTGAAGCTGTTAACAATCTGTCTCTTCTCCATCTATCGTGATGCCAATTGGCCTAGTGGTAAGAATCTTTATTTTCTTGTTGTTGAGCTTCAATTCATATGGAAGGCTTCAGTCGTTGACCTTCTGCAGCAAGTGCTGCAGGTCCTCCTCAGTTTCAGTAAATAAGGTTCTGTCATCTATATAACAACAGAGGTTGTTGGTGACTCTTCAAATCCTGATGCCACATTCCTCCTCATAAAAACCAGCCTCCTGGAAGATCTGTTTCACATATAGATTGAAAATGTGTAGAGATAGGATGCATCCCTGGTGTTCACCTTTCCTGATTTTGAAGCAGGCAGTGTTTATTTGCTCTGTTCTGATGACTGCCTCTTGGTCCAAGTATAGGTTTCACATGACCACTATCAAGGGTTCTGGGATTCCCATTCTTCTCAGAGTCAGCCACAATTTGTTGTGATCCACACAGTCAAATGCCTTTGCATAGTCAATGAAACATGGATAGACATTCCTCTGTTACTCTGTGCTTTCAGCTAAGATCCATCTCACATTGCCTATAATATCCCTAGTACCACGGCCTCTTCAAAACACATCTTGCATTTCTCTGTTGATGTACTGTTCCAGTCATTTTTGAATAATCTTCAGCAGGATCTTTCTTGCATATGGTATTAATGACATTGTTTGACAATTTACATACACCTTTTTTTGGAATGGAAATAAATGTGGCTCTCTTCCAGTCTGGTGACCTGGTGGTTGTCTTCCAGATTTCTTAACACAAACTGGTGAACATGTCCAGGGCACCATCTGTTTGTTGAAATATCAGTTAATATGTCCTCAATTCCTGGAGCCTTTTTTTTTTTTTTGCAAATTCCTTTAGAGTAGTTTGATCTTCCTCATTCACTACCATTGGGTCTTGTTCATATAGCATTTCATGAAATACTTTTGTCATCCAATTCTTTTTGGTGTAGTGACTCTGTGTACTCCTTCTATCTTCTTTTGATGCTTCCTAGATCATTCAACATTCTGCCTATAGCATCTTTAAGTATTGCAACTCAAGGCTTTAATCTTTTCTTCCATTTCTTCAGCTTAATAAATGCTGAGCGAGCTCATCCCTTTTGATTTTCCAACTCAAGCTCTTTGCACATTTCATTATAATATTTACTTTGTCTTCCCATGCTGCCTTTTGAATTCTTCTGTTTAGCTCCTTAACATCTTGATTTCTTCCCCTTTGCTAACACCTCCAGAAAACTGTAAATATTTCCAACTCTCTTAAAATATGAGGTAAACAGTCATGCTTTGTACCAGTCATCTTTTAATGGAATTCTGCTTTAAAAAATTATATAATGTTATGGCCTAGTGATAAGAATCAGTACTGCAATCCTTAAGGCACACAGTTCTAATCCATCAGGTGCCCCATAGGAGAAGCATGAGCAATTTCCTTACATATGATTACTGCCTCTGGAAACCCAACTCAACTGTGAGTTGGTTCCAACTCGATGACACATAACAACATAGTAAGCTATAGGGAACTCTGGTGGCCTAGTGGTAAGTAGTTGCATTGCCAACCCAAAGGTAGATGATTCAAATCCACCAGCTGTTCCAGGGAGAAAAAGGGGTAATCTCCTTATGTGATGTAATGCCATTGAAAACTCAATGGAAGGTCAACTATGGCTCAACTGTGGTTACATAATAACAGTAAGCTTCAGGAATCTGTAGCCAAATCACCAGAGCTTTCTTAAGAATTAGAGTTGAGGAGGTGGTGAATACTCAGAACAACCATCCTACAAGAACCAAAGGACAGCATTTACCCTGAGGTCAAGCTGGAAGGTCTGGCAAGGAGAAGATAGAAAGATGAATAGAAAGAAAGAACCACAAGGGGAAAATGGAAAGAGTACTAGTATATATAGGTTGTAATCAATGTAAAATATATCAGTTGGTATGCCGTCAATTTCTGGGGCCTTGTTTTTTGCCAATTCTTTCAGAGCAGCTGGAACTTCTTCCTTCATCACCACAGGCTCTTGCTCATACACTGTTTCATGAAATTCTTCTGTGTCCGCCAATTCCTTTTAGTACAATAAATCCATATAGTCTTTCTATCTTCTTTTTTAATGCTTCCTGAATCATTTAATGTTCTGCCCAAAGCATCCTTAAATATTGCAACTTGAGGCTTGAATTTGTTCTTAAGTTCCTTCAACTTAAGAAATTCTGAGCAAGTTTGGCCCCTTTGATTTTCTGACTTCAGCTCTTTGAACATTTCATTGTAATATTTTGTCTTACAACACTGTTCTTTGGAACCTTCTGTTCAACTCCTTAATATCTTAATTTCTTCCCTTTGTTTTGGCTTCTTGGCATTCTAGTACAGGCTTCATCTGATAAACTTTGGACATGTTGCAAGGAGGAACCAGTGTTTGGAGAGAAATGTCATGCTTGAGAGGGTGGAGGAACAGCCTAAGAAAGGAAGACCCTCGATGAGATGGATTGATGCAGTGACTGGGGTAATAGGGATAAGTGTGTCAGAGACAGTGAGTTCTGCACAAGATAGAATAAGGCTGTTGTACATAGGGTCGCTATGAGTCGCAGGTGACTCAATAGCACATAAAACAATAAAAAACCCCAACAATAACAATCAGTCAATATAAGAATGGTTGAATGGAACACAAATCTACTCTCTAAGCTTTTACTCAAATAACAGTAAATAAAGTTAAAAACTCATTAAGAGTTGGGTTCAGAATTAACTCTTATCAGATAAACACATTATACTCATGTAGATTAGATATTTTGCAAATGAGTATATATTTAATTAAAATTCTAATTATGTTCTCAATTTATCAATGTCAGTTCTTTTACTTAGCATTAAATAGACACAAAAGAAAGATGAACTTTCAAATACTTTCAAACCACACTAAGAATTTTAAGTAACATCTCACCTCTTTTTCTTCTCTATTCATGGTAGTATCTCATACCTGTTATAGAAGTGTGTTCCCTGAAATACAGATGGACTGTTCCATTGCCAACTTGTGTAACATTTTAACTCTTAGATGTGTATTTGATTAAAATTATGAAATAATCTAAGTTTTACTACACAGCCCATCTCCACCTTTCTCTCTCCACAGCAACACAGACGTGCACACGGTGGCGTCACTTCTTAAACTGTATCTCCGGGAACTTCCAGAACCAGTTATTCCTTATGCAAAGTATGAAGATTTTTTGTCTTGTGCTAAACTGCTCAGCAAGGATGAAGAAGCAGTAAGTGAATAGAGTTATTTTCAAATTAATGTTTGGAGAGTTTTTTCATCACTCTTAACCTTAACTTTGCAAATTGACCTTTAATCCTACTCTTAAACTTCTGCCACTTTATATTGAAGTCACACACTAAAATTTAACATACACAGGTCAATCCTCTTGTATCAAGATGGAAAAGGAAGAATGCAGACTGAACTAATGAAGTCAACCCTCCTTTTATGATCTTGCAATCATAAATGATGCAGTGTAGTGCTGCATTAAGCCCAACATTCCTTGAAAACCTGAATACCTTCTCTCCCTTTCATTGTGTACCCAAATCACATTCGCCATACAGCAAGAGTTAGCAAACTGTGACTCATGGGCAAAATCTATCTCCCGCCTCCCTTGTTTTTGGCATCTTTATTGATACATAGTTCACATAAAATACATTTTCCTCATTTAAATGCAAAACTTTGTGCCTGTGTGCATGCATTTTTAGTATTTTAAAGTTATACAGTCATTAGCAAGATTCCTTTCCTTTGCTCAAGAAATTCCATGCCCTTCAGGAATCACTTATGTTTTCCTTCTCCTTCCAACTCCTCACAGATCATTAATTGCCTTCCCATTTCTATAGATTTACCTATTTTGGATATTTCATGTAAATGGAATCCTTGAATATTTGGTCTTTTATGACTGACTTCTTTCACTTAGCATAATATTCTCAAGGTTTAGTAATGTTATAGCATGAATCAGAACTTTGTCTTTATTACCAAATAATATTTTATTATTTACCCATTTGTCAAGTCTATTAAAAATAATGTTGCTGTGAGTATCTGGTACAAGTTCTCCACACCCTATCCCTCTGTAAAACATTTGATAATTTAGCCATTTCCTAGAAGATAGATAGATAGATAATAAATATTAGTGACTTTGGTCATGTTCTTCATGTAAAAGTGTTGTTTTTTCTAAAGTATTCCATCACCATAAACTCAATGTGTCCTAGTGAAAATTTTTTCCTTTCTCCATTTCTTCCACCCTTGACAACCACTAACAATCTTTGGTTTCTGTAACTATAATAACATTGTTGTTGTTAAGTGTCATTGAGTTGCTTGCTACTCATAGTGACCCTATGAACAACTGCCCTAAAACCTCCTCTGTCCTGTGCCAATCTCACTGTCTCCAACACACACACCCTGATTACCCCAGTCACTAAATCAATCCACCTCATAGAGGGCCTTCCCCTCTGGTGCCGTCCCACCACCCTCCCAAGCACGATGTCCCTCTCCAAGGACTGATCCTCCTTGCAACATGTCCAAAGTACGTCAGACGAAGCCTCAGGATCCTTGTCTCCAAGGAGCAGCCCAGTTTAACCCTCTCCAGGATGAACCTGTTTGTTTTCTTAGCAGTCCATGGTACATTTGATACTCTTCTCCAGCACCACAGCTCAAAGAAAGGCATCAATTCACCTTCTATCCTCCCTGGTCATTGTCCAGCTCTCTGATGTTGTGATTGCAAGTGATTACAAAGACCATGGCCTGTAAAAGGCACACCTTAGTCTCCAGAGTGACAACATTGCTCTTCAGTACATATACTAGTACATTGGAGTGGTCCCTAACAGCAGATGATCACGTATACATTACACAATTTTCATATATTTTCTATATTCTTGAATGTATATAGCACTTGTTAGTGTCACGTGCATTGAGTCAACTATAACTCATAGTAACCCTATAAAAAACATATCTGATCCCTGTCCTTTCCTGTGTCATCCTCATCATCTCTTATAAACTTGTCCCCATTTTGATAGTCATTATGACAGTCTATCTCATTGACAATCTTCCATTCTTTTGCCAAACATCCACCTTTCCATGTGTGATATTTTTTCCAAGGATTGTACCCTTCTAACAACATGCCCAAAGTAGAAGATACAAAGCTGCCCCATCCTTACATTCAAAGAGTACCCTAGTTTCACTTTTTCTGAGGCTTATTTATTTGTTCTTTTGGCAGTCCATGGGGTAGTCACTATTCTTCTCTAGCACCACAACTCAAAGCCATTGATGATTCTTCTGTCATACATTATTCATTGTCCAAATTTCAGGTGCATTGCAAGTAATGTAAAGACCATGGCTTGAATCAAGTGCACATTAGTCTTTAAACCAACATCATTATTACTGAGTGGTTTGGAGAGGTACTTCACAGTAGATTTTCTCAATGTAACACATCTTTTTTTATTTTTCATAGTAACTATAAGTTTTGAGAAAATGTCAGTCAAACCAGCTACATTATTTTATGGTCAAATCAGTACTGTAATGGTTTTAACATCTTCACAAATGCTTGTTAATTACTTTTCCCCATCTTTTTGCATGTTGATGTTGTTGCTGTATGCCATTCAGTCAACTGTGACTCTTAAAAATCTTATAAATAACAGAATGGAACTTTGCCATGTGCCGCAACATCTTCACCTTCCCCAGCTTACTCAAGTCCATTGTTATAGTCACTGGATGTGAATATTATTCTCCTGTGAATTGATTTGCATTTTCCTGATGATTAAAGATACTCTACCTCCTTTTTATGCATTATTAGTATTTGTGTGTCTTCTTCAGAAGAATAACTGTTTAGGCTATTTATTCATTTTTTTAATTTACTATATAATTTAGTTACATTTTTTAACATACTTAAGATAGTAAGGAGTTCTGGTGGTGCAGTAGATAATATGTCTTATTTCTATAAGCGAAGGTAAGTGGTTTGAATACACTAGCTGCTCCTCTGAATAAAAAAAAAAATAGCAGATCTCCTCCTAGAAATATTTCCAACATCCTGAGCCCTATGGAGAGTTGTGATGAGTCAGATTCAACTTCATTTCAGAGATAGTGACTTAACATAATATTGCTCAACCTACAGTCACAAAGATTTACTCCTGTGTTTTCTTCAAAGGGTTTTATGATTTATCCTACTACAGTAAGGTCACTGATCCAAAGTAAGTTAATTTTGCAAATGATGTGAGCTACATTCTTTTGTATGCGTCTCTCCATATGCCTCAGTATCATTTGTTACAAAGACTATTATTCTTCCTCCCATTGAATGGTTGAGGAACCTAGTAAAAAAACAAACAAACAAAACAAACCCTACTACTGTTTTGGTAAATAAAGTTTTATTAGGACTTAGCCATGCTATTTATTTTGTATTGCCTAGGGCTGCTTTTGACACATTCCAACAAACAGACAGACACTGTCCTGGATGTGCTAACTAAGTTGTGCCATGGAATCTGGAGGACAGCCAGCTGGTCAACTGACTGGAAGAGATCCATAATTATTCCCATTCCAAAGAAAGGTGACCCAACAGAGTGGGGAAATTATCAAACAGTATCATTAATATCAGGCGCAAGCAAGATTCTGCTGAAGATTATCCAAAAAATGACTACAGTAACATGTCAACAGAGAACTGCCAGATGTGCAGACAGGGTTTAGAAGAGGTCATGGTACTAGGGATATTATAGCTAATGTCAGATGGATCTTGGCAGAAAGCAGAGAATACAAGAAGAATGTCTACCTGTGCTTCATTGACTATGCAAAAGCTTTTGACTGTGTGGATAACAACAAACCAGTGGTTGATTTTGAGAAGAATGGGAATCCCAGAACATTTGATTGTGCTTATGCGAAACCTATACTTGGACCAAGAGGCAGTTGTCAGAACATAGCAAGGAGACACTGCATGGTGCAAAATTGGGAAGGGTGTCCACCAGCGATGTATTCTGTCTCCATACCTTTTCAATCTTTATGCAGAAGACATCATCCAAGATGCTGGGCTATATGAGGAGGAATGTGGCATCAGGATTGGAGGAAGAATCATCAACAACCTATGTTATGCAGATGACACAACCCTGCTTGCTGAAGAGAGCCTGAAGTACTTGCTGCAGAAGGTCAAGGACTTCAGCTTTCAATATGGATTGAAGCTCAACAACTAGTAAGCAAAGATTCTCACCGCTGAGCCAATTGGCAGCATCAGTATGGATGATGAAGAGATTGGAATTGTTAACAGTTTTAGTTTGCTTGGTTCTACAATCAACAATATTGGTACCAGAAGCCAGGAAATAAAGAGATTAATTACATTGGGACAGTCATCAGTCAGAGGAACCTCTCTAGAGTACTGAAGAGCAATGAAGTCAGGCTAGAGACTAAGGTGTGCCTGATCTGAGCCGTAGTCTTCACAATTGCCTGCTATGTGTCAGAGAACTGGACAGTGACTAGAGAGGATAAAAAGAGAATTAATGCCTTTGAACTGTGGTCCTGGAGAAAGTTGTTGAATATACCATGGACTGCTAGGAGAACAAAGAGATTCATCCTGGAGAGGGTGAAACCAGGCTGCTTTTTGGAGGCAAGGATTCTGAAGCTTCATCTGACATAACTTGGGCATGTTGTAAGGAGGGTCCAGTCCTTGGAGAGGGACATCATGTTTGGGAGAGTGGAGGGACAGCACAAGAGAGGAAGACCCTCAATGAGATGGATCGATTCAGTGATTGGGGTAATGGGAGTAGATGTGTCAGAGACAGTGAGATTGGCACAGGACAGAGCAGAGTTTCGGGGTCTTGTACATAGGGTCGTTATGAGTTGCAAATGACTTGAAGGCACATAACAACAACAGGGCTGCTTTTGCCCTACAACAGAAGAATTGAGTATCTGAGATAGAGACTAAAGGTTCCCAAAAGTTTAAAATTGTGTACTAGATGACTGTTTACAGGGAGAGTAGGTCAAACTAGATTATCCGTTTTTCCCCCCTGGAACCATTTCTATTTGAGGGGAAATTTTGCAATAAGAAAAATAAAATTACTTAATCCTTTTGTGAAATATTAGACTGGATAATGCATTCCAACCCTCCATCTAACCCAAATTAATACATCCCAGACATTGCCAACCATCAGACACTTACTTGTCACTAGTTGTCTGTTTGCTTATGATTTTACTCATTGCTGTTGAGTTTATTCTCATGAAAGATCTTTGGAAAAATGGGAAGGCTCTTCTCTACATCAAAGCTGGGGTTACCCTAGGAATAACTATTATAAACCAGCCTATTTACCTTCCTCAGTAAACTGTAAATAAACAAAACTTTTCAAAGGGCTTTATTTAAATATCTTTTTCACAAATAGCATTTAGAGAAATATTTGAAAAGTGTACTCTTTGAAAATATTTCTAAAATAATGTTTGTGGTGGTTACAACTTTACAGGACAAGCTGCTTCATTGATAATATGTAATATTAGTTGTAATAATTTTATATTATTTTTCATCTGCTTTAATTTCAAGGTCACCGCTTAGATAACATTTTCTTCTTGCCTATACTCAGGGTGTTAAGGAATTAGCAAAGCAAGTGAAGAGTTTGCCAGTGGTCAACTACAACCTCCTCAAGTATATTTGCAGGTAAGAAACTTCCTAAAGATAAACCAAGACAAAAGATTCTTTTTTTTCAACTGGCTAATTTTATAGTGTTATTGGAACGCGTTCATATAGGACTCAAATTTACTACTTAGTAATTATTACTTGTGAGCTCTGGTGGCATGGTCCATAGTGAGCCGAGCTGAAAACCAAAAAGACCATGTCTCCTTGGCTGTTTAAATCCACCAGCTGCTCCTCAGGAGAAAGTTTGTAAGTCTCCTCTCCTGCAATTTACAGCCTCTGAAAAGTCAGCTATAAGTTGATTCTGACTCAACAGCAATGACTTTGACTTCTTCTGATACTTGAGTTACTGCTTATTATTTAACCTGGCAATAATTTACCACATGTTGTTAAGTTAAATCACTTACCTACCCTGAATTTTTACTTTTTCCCTGTAAAAGTGAGTTGTAATAAAGTAAACCCAAAATTTGTATCATCACTAAAATTGCTTTGCTTTCATTTGGAATTGCATGAAATTACTCTTATTTCCATATATTCAATATATGCTACATTAATTGTTTTTAGGATACAGAGAGTAACATTGTTTGGGGAAGAAATACTTCCTTTTACATGGCAAACACCTGTATGGTAATCTAGTTTCTATTATTAACTACAAATGTGTATTTCTGAAATTTCCTTAGCCTCAGTCTAAAGATCCCAGTAGTTAAGCTATTGATTAAAATATGTATTTCACAGAGTTGTTTTAAATTGTATTTTTAAATATAATGTATTACATTATAAAACTATATATTTGACATATTTAATATATTAAAATGCTTAATAAATAACATTTTATTTGTACTTCTACTTCAATCCTTATTAAAAAGACATTTGTAGTTACATTATGTTAGCTTAGTAGTAATGCATAATAAAACCTTCTTTAAGTTACCATGATAAATTAAAAGTTTAGAATGTGCTAAGCCTGTGTCCTATTTAAAAAAATAAACAAACACCTCAGTACATCAAATTGAAATGTATAACATACTTAAATAAAATGATAATTGATGCTACAATTGATAACATACCATCTTTAAATAGTAACTTTTCAGTGTATCTTAAAACAATATTGAAATATTTAATTCAGTGCATCATTTACACATACATTCTTGTAATGAAGACCAGATGTAGGATGGCATCAAGGATATTATTCATGAAGAGAGCAAAAACGGTCACTAGAAAGAGAAAGGAGAAAGAAAAAAAACTAAAATGGATGTTAGAAGACACTGAAAATTGCACTAGAGCATTGAGAAGTCAAAATAAAGGAAAGAGATGATAAAGTAAAATATCTGAACAGATGATTTAAAAGGATTATTTGAAAAGACAAAGTAAATTATTGTACTAGAATATGCAGAGATCTAGAATTTGAGAATAAAAAGGGAAAATCTTGCTCAGCATTTCTAACACTGAAAAAACGGAAAACAAATTCAAGCCTTGGCTTCCAATATTTAGAGATGCTATGGGCAAAATCTTGAATGATACAGGAAACATTTAAAGAAGACCAAGGGAGTACACAGAGTCGTTGTACCAAAACGTATTGACAATGAGCCAAAGGTAATAAAGAGAGACATTCAAGTTGCACCCTACACTGAAAGCACTAGAAAAAATAAGGCCCCAGGAATCAAGAAGATACCAAGTAACATGTTTCAAATAATAGAAGCAGCCCTTGATATGTTCAGCTCTCTATGCCAGAAAATCTAGAGAACAGCTGCCTGGCCAACTAACTGGAAGAGATGCGTAATTGTTCCCATTCCCAAGAAAGATGACCCAACAGAATATGGAAATTGTTAGTAATATTAATATTGTCATACACAAGTAAAACACTGCTGAAGATCATTCAAAAACACTAGAATAGTACAGAGACTAAGAACTGCCAGACATTCAAGCTGGAATATCATTACAGATGTTAGATGGATTCTGGCTAAAAGCAAAGAATACCAAAAGATATATTTTTTGTGCAGTATTGAATATACCAAGGCATTTGGCTGTGTGGATTGTAAAAAATTATGGCTATATGTTGAGAAGAATAGGGATCCAGAACACTTAATTGTGCTTGTGTGAAACCTATACCTAGGCCAAGAGGTTTTAGTGTGAACAGAGCAAGATAACACTGTTGTTAATGTGTTGTCAAGGTGCTTGTGACTCATAGTGACCCTATGGACAACAGCTCTAAGCCCTGCTCTCTCTTAAGCCAATTTAAGTAATGACACTCCCATTGCCCGAGTCACAGAGTCAATCCATCTAATCTAGGGTTTTCCTCTCTGTGCTGTCCCTACACCCTTCCAAGCATTATGTCCTTTTTTAAGGACTGGTTCCTCCTGGCAACATGCCAGAAATATGAGAGATGGAGCTTCAAATTTGTTGCCTCCAAGGGTTTCTGGTTTCACCCTCTCCAGGAAAGACCTTTTTGTTTTATTACAGTTCATGGTATGTTTGAAACTCTTCTCCTGCATCATAGCTCAAAGGCATGTATTCTTCTGTCATCCATAGTCATTGTCCAGCTGTCTGATGCACAGCTAGTAATAGCAAAGACCATGACCTAGATCAGACACACCTTAATCTCTAGACAGATATTGTTGATCTTCAATACTCTGGAAAAGAGAGCATTACATGCTTTAAAATTAAGAAAGGTGTATGGATCTTTTGTCCATACTTACTTAATCTGTGTACTGAGCAATTTATTTTAGAAGCTTGACTCTATGGAGAATAATGTAGCATGAAGATTGGAGGAAGACTCATCAATAACCTTTGTTATGCAGATGACACACTTTGCTAAAAGTGAGGAGGAATTAAAACTCTTGCTGCAGAAAATCAAACAGTTCGGTTTGCAGTATGAATTGCATGTCAACATTAAGAAAAACAAATATTTGGAACTGGATTTATAGACAACAAACAATGATTGATAAAAAAAGATTGAAATTGTCAATGTCTTCATCTTACTTGGATCCACAATCAATACACTTGGTACTAGAAGTCAGGAGATCAGGAAAAATATTGCTCTGAGGAATTCTGTAGTCAGGGACCTCCTCTCCAAATTATTCAGGAACAATGATCTCAGTTTAATAGCTAAAGTGCACCTGATTCAAGGCATGGTCTTTTCAATCATTGGCTATGCATCTGAGAGTTAACAATAAATAAGGATAAGAGAAGAATTGATTTATTTGAACTGTGATGTTGGAAAATAGTACTGAATAATCCCATCGATTGCCAAAAGAACAAACAGATGTGTCTTGGAGAAGCTGTAGTCAAAGTGCTTCTTGCAGGCAAAAATGATGAGGCTTTATCTCATATATACACTGGGCATGTTGATAGGCAAGGCTGTTCTTTGGAAAGGGACATCATACTTGGAAAGGTGGAAGGACAGTAAAGGAAAGGAAGACCCTCAACAAGGTAGATTGACCCAGTGACTGCTGGAATTGTCTCACGTGTGTCAGATTGTGAATATGGCATAAGATAGAACAGGATTCAGAACTCTTGTTCACAGGATCACTATGAGTCACACTCAACGTGATAGCAACTAACAACAACAATGGATATATTTTCAGCTAATTATAAACAATGGACTTTTAAGCCAATAACAGACAATGTGAATTTCATTGTAATATTTAATTAGTAGAAATTAAAAAGCAACTAACATAATCTCTTGGTGTTTAATATTGGTTAGTAAACAGTGTTGTTATAGAAAGTATGGCATTGCTTAGAAAAACTTAACCCCTTTTGCAATATTTTATCAAGATATTATTTTCAGTCTCTCCAGTAAGAGATAATTTGACTTCTTACCCTTCCGTTTGCTACATTATGGGCTGTGTATAAATGGAATATATGGAAATGGGCTCATTTTTCAATTCATTGTGTAGTATTTAACAGTAAGCGAGACACTGGACTCCAAAACCAGGATTCAAATATTTTCTCTGACATTTACTTTGTGTTCTTAGAGAAGAACCTGATACTACCTTCCAAATATATGATGCAAAAATATATTTGTATTCTTATTATTTCCTCTTTATCACATTAATTTCATTATAAACCATTAAATAATGAAGTTCTTGGACAAATAAATATTGGTGAGAAAGGAAATAGTTGTAAATACAAAATCTATTGATAAAGTGATCCAACAGAGTGTGGAAACGATTCAACAATATATTTAAAGTTAAATGCAAGTAAAATATTGCTGAAGATTATTCAAAAATTATTAGATCTTTCTTGTCCAAAGAGGAAAAATTTACTTAAGAGTAAAAACCAAATAGAAGTTGTAGATAAATTATTTGTTACCTGGAAACTGCCTGTATATTCATATAATTGATTGTTCATCCATAACAAGGTATGAAGTATTACTTGATTCGTGCACACTACATTGTGAACCTTAGAAATATGCTAAGTGAAAGAAACCTGCCATAAAAACATATATGTTCTATTATTTCATTGCTATGAATACTAAAACCAGGCAAATCCAAAGATACAGGATATTGTCTAGTAAAAGTTTAAGGATAGGAGTTGATGAAAATGTTCTAAAATTTATTGTGATGGTACTACTGTGTGAATACTAAAAGCCATTGAATTGTATACTTTAAATGCACGAATTGTGTAGAATTTAAATCAATAAAATGTCACCCAAAAAAATTATTGGAACAGCACATTGACAGGGAACTTCAGAAATTCAACCTGGATTTAGAAGAGAGCATGACCCGAGGAATATCATTGCTGATTTCAGATAGTTCTTTCCTGAAATCAGAGAATGACAATTAGGTTTACTTGTGCTTTTTGGACTATGCAAAGGTGTTTGACTAGGTGGATCATAATAAATTATGACTAAATTGGGAAAAATTAGAATCCTGGAATACTTAATTATGTTCATGTGAAAACTATACAAACCAAGAAGTAATTGTATTACCAGAACAAAGGAACACCACATAGTTTAAAATCAAAAAACGTGTGTATCAGGATTATATCCTTTCTCCAAACCTATTAAATCTATATACTGAGCAAATAATTTGAGAAGCTATGTAAAGAAGAATATGGCTCATCAACACCCTACATTATACAAATGGCACATCCTTACTTGCAGTAAGTGAAGAAGTATTGAAGCACTTACTGTAGAAGATGAAAGACTACAGACTTCAGTATGATTATATCTCAGCATTAAAAAAATAAAATCCATATTACTTGGACCAACAGGCAACATCATGATGATAGTTGGATAAAATATTGGACTTTTCAAATATTTCATTTTATTTGGATCCTTAATCTACACCTGGAGGGCACTATGCTGAGTGAAATATCTCAATCACAGAAGGACAAATACTGCATGATGCCACTGTTGTAGAATGAGACTGACATCAGGGTTGAGATAAGACTGAGAAAAACTGGATAAATTATGCATTGAAGCCAGTGAGGGAGAAAACAGTTTAAACAGTTTAAAAGCAGTATTTTTTTAAGGCGTTATGATTATCATAAGAGTTCCGAATGAGGGTTGCAGAGTGGAGTATACTTGGGGTGCGGGTGAGGGGGGGAATTGTATACCAATGAAGGAGTTTTTCTTTTGCCTTTCAAGGAGAAGAGCAAACTGGGGGTGGGGGCGGTGGGCAGGGAGAAAAGTGCAACAATGAATGATTGGAAATCCAAAATCTCTATGAATGTACATTGACCTTAATAAAAAAAAATCCACTAAGTGTACCAGTTATTTTAATATATGAAGTTAGAAGAAAAAAAAAAGAGCAATATTGTTTCAAAACCAAGATGTACCTGATCCAAACCAGAGTATTTTCAAATGCTTAATATGCATGGAAAAGTTTAGTAATAAAGAAGGCATGGCAGAACTGATGCTTTTGAGTTGTGATTTTCGAGAAGAGTGTTGAATATCTCATGGACTGTGAAAAGGAGAAACACATCTATCTTGAAAGAAGTGCAACTATCATGCTTCTTAGAGACAAGCTTGGGGAAACTTTGTCTATTTGGGCAATGTTATCAGGAGGAACTAGTCCTTGAAAAAAGATTATCATGCTGTGAAAGGTAGAGAATAAGTGAAGGAGAGTACAACAACAAAGTGACTGTGACAGTGAGCTCAAATATGTGGGAGATTATAAGGAGGGTTCATGGTAGGGCAAGTTTCTGACCTGTTGATCTTCATGTTGGTATTAGTCATAGTTGACTTGATGCTATTTAAAACAACAACTAATTGATGCCATTCAGTAGCTTTTCGTTTTTTTGTTTTAATATGTATCTGCTTCTTTAATTACTCCTAAGTATATTTTTTTTTAAATTTAGGTTGTTTATTTTTCATTTCAATGAACATCTACAGAGATTTTGGGATTCCATTCATTCATTGTTGCACCCTTCTCCCTGCACAAACCCTCCCCCCCCATTTGCTCCTCTCCTTGAAAAGCAAAAGAAAAACTCCCTCATTGGTACACATTCCCCCCACACACAGCTTTTAGTTTTTAACAATTAATAAATTTAAAAATTGTTTTTGTAGTTTTATATAAATATAACTTAGTTTTTAATTTAAATATATTTTATATGTTCTTTGAATAGATTATTCATATGATACTTAGAAATATGTTTATATTGTTGGCTTCCATTGAGTCAACTCCAATTCATATTTGGATAACAAACTGAAACATTACCCAACTCTTGTTCATCTTCATAATCTCTTTTGTGCTATTGTTGTAGTTATTGTGTCAATGCATCAGTCCATCTCATTAAGAGTCTTTCACTCCTTCATTTTCCCTACCGTTTTTCAAGTTTGAGATCTTTATCCAAAGACTGATCTGTCCTGATTATATGCCTAAAATATGTAAGAGGACATTTTACCATTCTTGCTTCTAAGGATAAACAGGATATACTTCTTACAGGGCATGTTTATCTGTTTTTTTCAATGTTGTTGTTGTTGTTGCTAGGTGCTGTCAAGTCGTAGACAACTCATAGCAACCCTATGAACAAAAGGCCTGAGCACTGTTTGTACATAGAGTTTCCAGAGGCAAGCCATTTCGGAAGTGGATGTCTCTCCTGCTTCCAGGCTTGTTTTAATCGGGAAACTCCAGCAAACACTGTCCACCATGGGTAACCATTACCACATTTGGCACATCAGTGTCCCAGTTTTTTTTAATAGACCATGATATATTAAATATTCTTCACCAATGTACTTTACAAGTAATTCAAAGGCATTATTTTTTCTCCTCTCCTTATTAATTATCTCTCTATTTCTCTTATACACAGATACACACACAATCAATTCTTCCTCTCTAAAATAAAGGATGGTTCCAGATGATCTTTACAATCCTTAAATATGAATACAAATGTAATGCTGTATTGAGGCTTTATAAATGAATTCATGTTCTTGGCTTCCAAGTTCATATTAGCATTATTCAAATAGAGTGTTTATTCTCGTGATGGTCAAAACCCAAGTTTTCCAGGCTTGAAGTGATATTTTATATGACCCCTTAAATTTAGGCCTTTTAATAACTTGCCATAATTTTTGTCCCATATTTGAGTGTTGTTAGACTTTCTAAATAATACTATTCTTCTAAATCTCCCTTGAACATCATGCCAGTTCATATATCTCCCAGTGATCTGTTTTTTAATAACATATTTTCTCTTATCTTGTTCTTTTCATATTCTTACAATGAACAGATTCTTGGATGAAGTACAGTCCTATTCGGGAGTTAACAAAATGAGTGTGCAGAACTTGGCAACTGTCTTTGGCCCTAATATCCTACGCCCTAAAGTGGAAGATCCTTTGACCATCATGGAAGGTAAATAAATGATTATGGAACATCCTCTCCATAGAAGAATCATCTGATAAGCCTCTGAACAATAGATAAATCCATAGCAGTTACATTTAATAACTCAGTTTCCTTAAGTGTAAAATCTTCTCTCTGGCAGTATTTTTCTTTAATTTACCAAATATTTTTCAAATGATTCGTGGTAGGGATCTGGAAAGGTAATGGTGGGCATGGTTCAATGGTGATTAATTTTATAAATCATAATGAATGAGAATGATTGCATAAAACACACTGTGATGAAGAATAGTGTGAAACACAGTGTACAAGAACTTTGTAAGCAAACCAACATAAAATACAAAATTTTAAAAAATGATTCCTTGGTAGTCTTATAAGAATAAAAGAAATTTACACAAATCATTCCTAAAATATTCTATTTGAAATGGAAAACTCTATCTCATATGGTGAGGCGAATACAGTCATCAGAAAATTAAAAATTATTTTCAATTGATATGGTTTCTTAAAAATTTTTGGTATTAATTTTTTGGGAGGGGTTCAGAAATATGAACCTCTATAAAGCAGTGCTGCCTACTTATATATGAACTTAAACATGAAAGAACTCTTGGTTTCCAAAGTAGAAGGTGTTCTTGATTTTTTCTATAGCAAACCACCACTTATGTTTGTTTGTAGCAGCCTCATTGTCTGGGCACTCTTTGTACTTTTAGTTATTGCTTGCAACACTATTTTTTTTTTCTAATTAACCTAATTAAACATTTATTAATTTAATATATGAGAGAGAAGGAGAAATAATAATTATTTCTAGTTTTACTCACTTTACTTCGTCTGGAATAAAATCTATCACTCAACTTTTGTTGGTGATAGGTGCTGTCGAGTCAAGTACAACTCATAGCATCCCCATGAACAAAAGATCTGAACCCTGTTCTACCCTGCACCATCCTCACACTTCCTGACACACAAGAGCCCATTGCAGCAGTTTTACTCACTTTATTTGGTCTGTAATCACTCAATTATGTTGATTTTATTCTCTGACAATGTCCCCTAATTGAAAGGTCTAAGATTTTGACTTCCACTTAAATTTCCATAATTTTGCTCTGTCACAAGTAAATCTAAATAACAATTTTAAATTGTAATATGATGGGGACTGGAGGGGGCAGGAATGACGCCTTTGAGCTGTGATGTTGGAGAAGAGCACTGAACATCCCATGGACAACCAAGAGAACAAATAAATATATCTTGGAAAGAATGCAGTTGGCGTGCTCTTTGGAGGCATGAATGATGAAGGTTTAGCTTCACATACTTTGGCCATGTTCTAGAAGTTGCTATTCCTTGGAGAAGGAAGAAGGAGACTGTCAATCAGGTGGATTGACACAGTGACTGCTGCAGTGGGCTTTTGTGTGCCAGGAAGTGTGAGGATTGCACACTTGTTTTTTTTATGAACACATCTTTTGTTCATAGGGCTCTGAGGTGTACTTGACTCGACAGCACCTAACAACGACAACAACAACAGGATGAAGTCTGGTAAATTTTAGGAAAATATTAATGAGATATTATTTGAATTTTATAATACTCTATCATCTCTTAGAATGAGGTAGGAAAGAAAAGTTAGAAGTCATAGTGGAATTATATAGTGAAACTCACTGTGTTCAGAATGACTTTCTGTTTATGAACCTGAGCTTCTAGACTCTTGCCCTACGTTATACATGTTACTATTAGATGACATCAAGTCAACAATAATGCATAGTGACTCTATGAACAGCAGATTTAAATCTTCCCTTTTTCTACACCATCCTCATGATATGTTCATGATCATTGTTAAAGTCACTGTGTCAACCCATCTTGCTGAAAGTCTTCCTCTTTTTCTCTGACTCTATCTTTTTTGACAATGTCTCTCTTGAAAAACTTGTTCCTTCAGAAAAAATGCAAGAGTAAGTGAAATGAAGTTTCACTGTCTTTGCCTTTAAGGAGCTATCTGACTATTCTGTCTTTAAGACAGATTTGTTTGTTCTTTTGGCAGTCCTTTATATTCGATACCCTTCACCATCACCACAACTCAAAGGTATCAATTCTTTATCTATCTTCTTTAGTCATTGTCCAGCTTTCAAATAGATAGGAAGCTATTAAAAAATACCAAAGAGTAGTTCTTGAGTCAAGTGCATTTAGCCTTTAAACTGACCCCCTTGCTTTTTAGAACTTTGGAGAAGCCCTTGACTGCAGATATCCTAATGCAACACATCTTTTGAATTTTTAGTTGCTGCTAACAGGAGTGCTGGTTACAGCTCTGAGTAAAATGAAATCATTGAGAACTTCAGTCTTTTCTGCATCTTTCACAATGTTGTCTATTAGTGTAGTTGGTGAGGACTTTTGCTTTCTTGATGTTGAAATGTAACCCATAGAAAGCTAGCATCTTTCATGTGCTTTAACCTTTAACATGCTAAAGTTAGTAGGGTGAGCATGACCAAAGGCAGGGAATTTCATCCATCTCATTGGAAGGTGAAAACTCGCTAATAAATAAGGAATTCTAAAGAATTAATGCTATTGGATTGTATTGTTGGTGGAAGCTATTGATTGTAATAAGGATTGTCAAAAGATCAAACAGATTTGACATGATGCTCTTTAGAAGCAAAATGGTGGGACTTCATCTCACATATTTGTGTATGTTTTCAAAAGGGCCAGCACCTGAAGAAAGATACCATGTTAGAAAAGTAGAAGGTCAGTTAGAAAAAGAAGAAACACCTCAATCTAGTTCTGCTATTCATAAGGTCATTAAGAATGTTGATTGATTCAATAGTGCCTAACAACAGTGACAATCATAGCAATGTGTGTTTATCAGGTATCTTCATATTCCTATCAATATGATAAAAACAACATTTCCATTTGTCCTTTGAAAAAGGCATCATCCTGTGAAAAATAGAGAGTTAGAAAGATAATGGCAGTCCTCCAACAAGATGGGATGACACAGTGACTGTAACAACAGGTTTAAGCATATTAGAGATTATGAGAATGGTGTAGACGGGAAAGTTTCAGAGATGTTGTTCGTAGGTCGCCATGAGTCTTAGGCAACTCAGTGGTACCTAATAACAACAATGTTTGCTGTAGAAAGTCAAAGACTGCAGTCTTAAATATGTATTTAATTTCAACATCAAGAAAACAAACATTCTCAACACTGGGCCAAATGGCAGCATGATGATAGAAGAGGAAGAGACTGAGATTGTTAGCTATTTCATTTCAGAACTATAATCAATATTCTTGGCTCTAGCAGTCAAGAAATCAAAAGATAAATTTCACTGGGAAAGACTGCTGTCAGGGACACCTCCAGAGTGCTGAAGAACAATGTCAGTCTAAAACTAAAGTGCAAATACTGCCTGGTGCCACTGTCGTAGAAAGTGATTGACATCAGGGTTGGGGTAAGACTGAGAAAAATAGATATGGATAGACTATGTATACTGAATTGAAACAGCTGAGGGAGAGAATAGTTTAAAAGTGATATATGATAGCATGTTATGATTATCACAGTAATCCAGAATTGAGGTTGCATAGTGGAGTGTATTTGGGGGGTGGTGGCTGGGGCAGGGATGGGGGGATTGTTTACCAACGAAGAAGCTTATCTTTTTCTTTTTTTATCAAATTTTATTAATTTTAATGGACATTTACAAAGATTTTGGGTTTCCATTCATTCATTGCTGCACTATTTTCTCTAGCCCCCTCCCCAGTTCGTTCCTTTTTTTTTCTCCTTGAAAGTCTGTTTTAATTGTCCCATTGCCACAGTGCTTGTCAGAGCCAGTTCTGATTAATCTCCTTTGTCAGTGCGTCCTTTGCCATTCCCTGTCACTCCTCCCTGAGAGAGATTTCACCCTGATTCATAAGGAAAAGGGGATGGCGTATTCTCTTAGCTACTTTCTGCTGAAAAGGGACGCTGTGGGTTTCAGGGTGAAGATCTTCTCTCACTACTCTAAAGGGCCCCTTTGGCAATAGGAAACACATAGACTATTTTGGAATTTAGATGCACTGCTATCAATTGTGCTTAGCTGTACGTTCATATGCTTTTCAAAGAGAGGAACAAACTGGAGGGAGGGGGGGGTAAAGAAAAAAGCACAACAATGAATGAATGAAAATCCACAATCTCTGCAAATGTTCATTAAAATTAATAAAATTAAAAAGAAAAAACCTAACTAAAGTGCGCCTGATCCAGACCATGCTCTTTGCAATTACTTGCTATACATCAGAGTGAATAAGGCTGACAGAAGAGGAATCAATACCTTTGAATTATGGTACTGGAGAAGAGTATTGAATGTACCATGGACTGCCAAGTGAACAAAGAAATCTATCCTGGAGAGGGTAAAACCAAGTTACTCTTTGAAGGCAAGGATTTTGAAGCTCTGTCTCACATATTATGGACATGTATCCAGGAGGCAATAGTCCTTGGAGAAGGACATTATACTTGAAAGTATAGAGGGTCAGCACAGGAGAAGAATACCCTGAAGAAGATGGAGTGACACAGTAACTGGGGGAATGGGAGTTGGGGTATCGAAGTCTGTGAGATTGGCTCAAAATAGGATAGAATTCAGAACTATTGTTCACTGAGTTGCTAGGAGTTGCAGTGAGTTGCTAGGAGTTGCAGTAAACTCAATGGCGTATAATAACATCATTATGGTCTGGACAATATTTAATTCATCAAATTGATACAGTTTAAGTCAAAACAGAAAAGCTTACTATGCATTAGACAATAATGAGATTTTATTGTGAATTCTTGGGAAAAAATAAAGCTTTAGGCAGTGAGAACTGTCAACTTCTATTATAGAAGTTTAGCTGCTGATTGCATCCAATTATAGAAGATACGAGTTCAGATACATTCGAGAAATATATATAAATGCACATTAAACTTTTAGGCTGTCATAAAATTCAGTAAAGCAACTAATTTTAATAACTGCTAATAACAAATCAATTTTTCTATCCATTGTATTCTGAGATATTTTCTATGGCTTATTAAGGCATTGGTTTCTAATTCATACTTTGAAATAGCAAGCAAAATATGATTGAGATCAGACTCTTTAAATCCTAAAGACTCAGCAAGAAAACTACTGGACATAGTTGACCAATTCAGCCAAGCGGCAGTATATAAGACCAACATACAAAAATCAATTGGATTTCTCTACAGTGACAAAGAGAATACAAAACTGGAGCTAAGAAAAACAATACCCTTTGCAATAGTTAATCATAACATTAAATAATTGGGAGTAAGTCTAATCAGAAGCACAAAAGATTTATTCAAAGGAAATTACAAAACATTACTACAAGAAACAAAAAGAGACCTGGAGAAATGGAAGAATATCCCTTGCTCATGGATAGGAAGACTCAATATTGTGAAAATTACTATACTTCCAAAGGCAAATTACACACTCAATGCAATCCCAATACAAATACCAATTCCATTCTTCAATGAGATGGAAAAGGCAATCTCAAATTTCATTTGGAATAGAAAGAGGCCCTCCAAAAGCAAAACACTCCTTAAAAAGAGAAACAAAGTAGAAAGCATCTCATTCCCTGGTTTCAAATCCTACTACACTGCCGTGGTGGTTAAGACAGAGTGGTACTGGTACAATGACAGACACATAGATCAATGGAATACAATTGAGAATCCAAAAATCAGCCCATCTACCTATGGTCAACTGATTTTTGACAAGGAGATGAAATCAGTTAATTGGGGAAATTACAGCCTTTTTAACAAATGGTTTTGGCAAAATTGGAAAATGTCTGTAGAAAACTTCAAGCAAGATCCACATCTCATTCTATGTACAAAAACCAACTCAAAGTGGATCAAGGACCTAGAACTAAAACTAAGGACTATAAACTTCATTAGAGAAGAGCTTGGAAGAACTCTAGAAGCTCTAATCCAAAACATAAACAGTCTTCCAAGCATCCTGGAAAACCTACAACCAGGAAAGGGTAAATAGATGTATGGGATCTTCTAAGGTTAAAATGTCTATGCACATCCAAAAACTTCTCAACAGGGTAAAAGAGGAAGTCACAGACTGGGGGAAAAATATTTGGTAGTCACCTGTTTGATAAGGGTCTTATATCTAGAATTTGTAAAATACTCAAGCACCACAAGAAGATATGGATTGAAGCGCAATGTCAAGAAAACAAAGATTCTTACCACTGGAACGATTGGCAGCATCATGATAGATAATGAAGATACTGAGATTGTTAATAGCTTCAGCTTGCATGGCTCCATAATTAAACTCTTGCTAAGGATGATAGAAGAAGAATAGATGCCTTTGAATTGGAGTGATAAAGAGGTGAGTTGAACATACTGTGGACTGCCAGGAGAACAAACAAATCTCCTGGAGAGGATGAAACCAAGCTGTTCCCTAGAAGCAAAGATTTTGAAACTCTGTCACACATATTTTGGGCATGTGGTCAAGAAGGACCAGTTCTTGGAGAAAGACATCATGCTTGTAATGGTATATCATGCTTGGAAGGGTGGAGGGACAATGTGGGAAAGGAAGACCCAGGATGAGATGGATTGATTCACTGACTGAAAAAAATGGTATTAGGTCTATCAAAGATGATGAGATTGGCTCAGGATAGGGCTATGTTCAGAGCTAAAGTATAAGGGGTTGTTAAGAGTTTCAGGCAACTTGAGGACACATAACAAAACAGTAGCAACAATAAAACATACTTTAAATTACATTATCCCTGTCCCAAGATAAATTTGACTCTACATTTCTATATATAGGTCTCTTTTGTTTTTACCCCATCAGTTCCTTTGATGTGTATAGTTTTTTTACTAAATTTGAAGACTTTAGCCATTATTTATTCAAGTATTCTCTTTGTCTCTTCTTTATCTCCTAAGATTACCATTATTTATGTATGTGTGTTATGCTTGATGGTACTGAACAATACCAACAAAGAACAGATCTGAGAATCTGTTCATTTTTATTCCTGTTTCTCAGAGTGACTATCAATTGATCTACCTTCAAGCATACTGGTTCTTTATTAAGGCTGATTAATTTTCATTTTTATCATTGTACTTTTTAATTTCAGAAATTTTATTTGATTCTTTTTTATAAACTCTGTCTCCTTATTGCTATTTATACTTTTGTGAGAAATTGATGTTTTACTTGTTTCCTTCAGTTCTTTAGTAATGATTCCCTTATGCTATTTTGACACATTATAGTAACTAATTGAAAGTCTTTGTCTGCTTAATCCCACATCTGGACTTCTTCAAAGTCAATTTCTACACAGTGGGTTTTTTTCCCCTTTTTTTGTGTTGTTTGCTCTAAGATTTGAGAAGTTGACATTTAAATAATAAAATAACATGAGAGATTTATAAATCAGAATTTACCCCTCTGGAAAATTTGTAGTTTTTTGCTGTTTGTTGCCATTGTTAGTTTGTTTAAAGACTTTTAAATGTAATTAATTCTTGAAAATTTATATTGTATGTAGGAGTGGCCACAACACACAATATAGGCTTGTCTAGGTTAATACTGAGCTAATCATTGGACAGAAATTTACTTAAATGCCTGAAACCAATTAAGTCTCCCTGGTCCTTGTCAAGGACATTTGTGTATGTTTTCAGAGCAAACCACACAGCCAAAAAGTTTGCAACTTTTCCTTGGATTTAAGTTCCTTCTTTTGCAGAACCTCAAAGTTAATTTAAAAAATGAGAGCTTAGAATTTTCTTGATTGCCCCTAAATATGTAAACAGCCCAAGATACCCAAACAAACCCTAAATATGCATGTATTCTTCTAAATTCCTAGAAATATACTAGAGTTTTTCAAAGTCCCTTGTGTATACTTTATTCTCCAGATTTTCTTTTTTATGAATTTTGTATAGCTTATTGTTTGCTCCAACTGATGGTCAAAGCTTCAAGCATCTCTGAAGTTAAACAGAAATGGTGTTGCTTGTTTTTGACAAATGCCTCTGGGAGAAATGCTGATCACACAAGCAAAGTTCCTAGTCAGATCAAACAAAGATAAGCCTTGAGAGTAGGATCTTCCAGAGAACCATTCCACAGGGACATAAAAACGATTATGTGAGATCTGGGCTTTGACGAAGTTCCAGTTTTGACTTTTCCATTTCGATGACTGATAGTTGACTGGCTTCTACTGTGATATAGGAAAGGGATTTTCAAAGCTTCTACAAAGCTGAGGAAAAGGCAGTGAGAATAAGGCAAGTTAAAATCCTACGTAATCTTACTGAGAGTTAGCTGATTTTTTCTCAAATAGTAGTACTCTCTGGTTTACTAGAAACTTTAGCTAATTTCCAGAGTCCTCAAAAATTGAGTGTGAAAACTTTTGTCACTCTTTTCATTACTTTTTGAGGAGAGGATGTTTAGAGTTTGTTAATCAATCATTTTGGATGTTAAAACATAAAATTCTATAAGTTGTTGAATTATGGTCAAATGCAATTTAGAACTTCATTGTCTTGCAACATTAGAAAGATAAGTCATATATCACCTAAAGGTTGTGTAGGGTCTTCTTTAGACCAAATACAAGTACACATTGCAATCAAGCTGATGACAACTCATAGAGATAACCACAAGGCATGATGTTATGTACCATCTAGTCACAACTGACCGATAGCTGACCTTCCAGAGAGTTTTCAGAGGCAGCTAATCACACAGGAGATTGAACTGGTGGATTTGAACCACATGTCTTTAGAATTCCAGCATAGCTTCTTAATACTAGACCACCAGAGCTTCTTATGGAACATAGTAGAATATAATAATCCATATAGATTCCAAGGCTTTAAGTCTTTACAGGAGTAGTGTGCTTCATCTTTGATTTGCTGAAAAGCCAGTGGATTCAAACCAAGGATTTTTGACTCATAGTCAAATGCATTAGCCACAGGGCCATTGTTTGTTTTATGTAGAGGTCTCATTAAAGGACTTTGATGATTTGCATGATTACCTTCTGAGGATATTCCCCCCCCCATAATTAAATGTCAAACTTGCAAGAAATATTGTATAGTGATTAAGATTCTAGTGATTAGAACTAAAGTTTGGAAGAAACGATGGCTGAAAATTCCCCACATTTATGTATCTGCTCCTTAATTATCTTTTAGCTTTGGTCAAGTTTCTTAACTTTTATAGGGCAATGATAATAGCAACAACTATCCATGAAATTGTTTTAAAATACAAATAAGCTAGCAAAATTATTTGGCAAAGTTCATGGAAAATAATAAATACACAAGAAATTTAGCTTCAGTCTATGGGTCAGCACTGCTAAGTGTCATGCTTTATGTGTACCTAAAAGTGGTTCTTTGCTAATTGAATTCAAAGTGGAAAATAAACCAAAGCTTCTTGCTCATTAATGCTTTGTTTCTTATGTTCTTTCAGGCACTGTGGTGGTACAGCAGTTGATGTCAATGATGATTAGCAAACACGATTGCCTCTTCCCGAAAGATGTGGAACTCCAAAGCAAGCCTCAAGATGGAGTGGGCAACAACAACAATGAAATACAGAAGAAAGCAACCATGGGTCAGTTACAGAATAAGGAAAATAATAATACCAAAGACAGCCCTGGCAGGCAATGTTCTTGGGACAAGTCAGAATCCCCGCAGAGGTGTGGTGTGGACAATGGATCTCCCACGGCTTTATCAGGCAGCAAAACCAACAGCCCACGGAATAGTGTTCACAAGCTGGATGTCTCTAGGAGTCCTCCTCTCATGGTCAAAAAGAACCCAGCTTTCAATAAGGGCAGTGGAATAGTCACAAATGGGTCCTTCAGCAGTAGTAATGCAGAATGTCTGGAGAAAACCCAAACCACCCCCAATGGGAGCTTGCAAGCCAGAAGGAACTCTTCATTGAAGGGATCTGGTACCAAGATGGGCACCCACAGTGTGCAAAATGGAACAGTACGCATGGGCATTTTGAACACGGATACTCTTGGGAACCCCATGAATGGTCGCGGCATGAGCTGGTTGCCCAATGGGTATGTGACTCTAAGGGACAATAAGCAGAAAGATCAAGCAGGAGAGTCCAGCCAGCACAACAGGCTCTCTACTTATGATAACGTCCATCAGCAGTTCTCCATGATGAACGTTGATGACAAGCAGAGTGTCGACAGTGCCACGTGGTCTACTTCTTCTTGCGAAATCTCCCTCCCTGAGAACTCCAATTCCTGTCGTTCCTCCACAACTACTTGCCCAGAACAAGACTTTTATGGTGGAAACTTTGAGGACCCTGTTTTAGATGGTCCACCACAGGACGATCTTTCCCACCCTGGAGACTATGAAAACAAAAGTGACCGAAGGAGTGTGGGAGGTAGAAGTAGTCGTGCCACCAGCAGCAGTGACAACAGTGAGACATTTGTTGGTAACAACACTAGCAACCACAGTGCCCTGCACAGCTTAGTTTCAAGCCTGAAACAAGAAATGACCAAACAGAAGATAGAATATGAGTCCAGGATAAAGAGGTGAGGAAAATCTGGAGCTTGTACCTGCCAAAGAAGGTATCTTAGCTTTCTAATGAGGGACAAGATGCCTTAGAGATTATGATGGCTCTGAAATTATAAAGGGTCAAGTTCAAATCCTAGTTTCACCATATGTAAGTAATGAGCAGGAGGTTCACTTTAGGAAAACTCTTTCTCTGTAGTTCTTGATTTCTCATAAAGTAGCTTAGGCCTGGGGAGTTGTGCTGCTAACCCCAAAGCTATGCTTCTATGCTGGTTCAAATGCACCAGCTGTCCTGAGCTGTCCTCTCAAGCAATTTACAGCCTCAGAAAACCCGTGGAAGATCAGCTATGAGTTGGTTCCTACTAGACACCAGTAAGAGTGAGTATTTAACTCACAAGCTTTTAAGAATTCAGTGACCTCTGTTTGGCACAGAGAAAATATTTTTAAGGTTATATTTTGCTGTTAGTAGAAAGGGAGGAGCTATGAAGAGATGAATAGAGAATGAGGAGTTTGTTAATCTCCACTGATAAAAGGAGGATTAAATTAGCATAAAAATAGATTAAATGAGAATGAAAATGGCTGTGTTGAATAAACCTTGAAAAACAATGTAGCCAGCATGGAAGTGGAGTCATCTGACCTCCCCTAACTCCACAGATGGGCTATTAGCAATATCAATAGCAAAATAAACTAATTCCTATAATAAGAAACACTACCCACACTCCTACAGGATATTTGGTGTACCTGAACTTCCAGAAAGGCACAGCTTTTGAGCTAGCAGAGCAACTCCTTATGGAGATTCTAGATGGATATATATATATATATATATATATATATATATATATATATTCTTTAATTTATAATGGGGTTGCTTTCTCTGACATAAACCAAATATCTCAAGTCTTTCATTAATATTGCTTATTATTTTTCTTATCAATCTCTTTAGAAATACTGTATTTCTCTTTGGTAGTTGAAACATTATATAGTTGCAAAAACCTGCATTGCAATCCCAAAGGGACATGGTTTGAAGCTGCTCCACTGGAGAATAATGGGCCATCTCCTCCCAATTAACTGCTTCTGAAAACCTGCTGGAGAGTCAGCTTTGGTACTCTGTAGTACACAGCAATAACTTATGTGTAGTTTGTTGTTGTTGTATTATGCCATTGAGATGCTTGAAACTCATAGTGACTCTATGTACAGTGCTCTAAGCACTGCTCTATCCTGAGCCAACCTTATTGTCTCTGACACACCTACCCCTTTTTCTCCAGTCACTGAATCAATTCATCTCATCAGTGTTCTTTTTTGGGTGCAAAATCCAATGTCATAGCTCATAGACCACATAGAACTACAGAGCCTTACTGGGGAATTCAAAAGTTTATAATACAGATTAATTACAGAATACAGTCAAGATAGCTCCTGAAACGTGCATGCAGCCACCTCAGTCTTGAGACTTCAGGCCTGTATTCCCAAGTCCTCAGTCCTGCCAATATTGGCTTCCCACTCCTTGTTGTCAAAAAGTTGCAGTTCCTCCTCAAGGTCCCGTCTCATGTCAGGTCTTCAGTTTGGACATAGGTATTGTTCCATAGGTGTAGCTGGAGTAGCAAAGGTGTCCTCCATTGTCTTGCTTTCTCTTCAATGGCACCAGAAGATCTGTCTCAGAGGCTAGAGCTTCTGATTTTATTGGCAAGTCTGGCCAATCCCTTTGTAGATTGTTGAGACTGGCCAATCCGCTTGTGAATTATCTAACATGCGACATAGCAAAGTCAATTAATGGCTAGAAAAGGCATATAGAAAGATAAACTCCATACCTTCCAATAGTTTCCAAGAGGCTGTAAATCACAGAGGAGGAGATTACTCTATATATCCCACTGAGCTGCTGGTGGGATTTGAATCACCAGGAGAGGCAGTACTTCTGGTTTAGCAGCACAATTTGCTACAGACTAAGCCACTAGAGCTTCCTAATATAAGACGTACTGCAACAAAAAACCAAAAGTACAGTTTGTTGTAACTCAAATAAAAAAAAATGGAGTCTGCATTACATTTAATAATTACTTCCTTTGAAAGTAGTTTTAATAGGATCACTCAGTGAAAACTTGATTGGAATTTTTTTATATAATTTTGGATGATGGGAGACTTAAATAGGAAGATACATGTTATCAATGTACAGGGTTACTCTACTCTTTGCATATTCTTTTTCAAAACTCTAGCAATGAAATGCTAAATCCCTGCTGATGCATGATGATAAATGAGCACTTAGTAACGGGAAACATGTCTTTCAGGACAAGGGATAACAATGTAAAGTTTTTAAGAATGGAAAGCATTCAGAATTACTGCAGATACGCTCATACATTATAGAGAATTTTATTGCTACATATACACTGAGATCCATGATATATTTCAGAAATGTCAATAAAATAATAGACTTCCAGCAACTTGGTGGTGGACCTTTTCAATGAAAAAAAAAAAAAAAAGGCAAAAAGTCTCCCATAATTAGGGCAGGTGTAGAGTAGACCTAGGGTGAGACATGAAGCACAGAAATACAAGGCAGCAACTGTTTCAATTAATTTTCAATTATTCTGTTTAGAGTTATACATTTCTCTTAGAAAGTTTTTTTTAACTGAAGCCCAAAAGTGTTTAGATGATATTATGTGCCATCAAGTTGCAATCAACTCATTGCTGATCCTTTAGCGGGTTTTCAAATGATAGAATTTCACTATTTCTTTCTTTGCTTAGTCATTGATTGATATATACAGTAAGATCTATGAAAGCTGAATGATGTATAGGTACTTCAAGGAAGAAACCTCAAGTATTTTTCATAAACAAACAATTGAAAAAATTATATGATTTCACCCTGTTAAAAGCAAAATACTGGCAAGATAAGGAATAACAAAGCTATGCCATCAGGTTCTGGTTCTCACAATTTTCACCATATAGAGTCCCTTTATTGTTGTTGCTGTGTCCTTTTGAGTTGGATCTGACCTATAGTTGGCTCTTCTATGGCTTCCAGACATAATAAATCACCTGGGAGATTGCCCACCTTTTCCCTACAGAATATCTGGTGGATTTGAACCACACACCTTTGCATTAGCAGTGCAATTCCTTACCACTAAGGTACGTAGGTGATGTTAAACATCATGTGCTTAACTCCTAATCTAGAAGTTCCTATGTAGTGATACTTTGGAATACAGAACTGACATGGCAGTCTGCTTCTGAAAAGTTACAGCTTTGAAAAACCCTAAGGAACATTTCTGCTCTTTACCTCTGAGCTGTCATAAGTCGGCATCAACTCTATTGCTACTAACAAAAAATACACTAACCTCCAAAATTGCTGTTGAATCGCATCTGACTCTAAGCAATACATGCAAACAAATTTGTATGTATAT